AGCTACTTAGCTTAGCATAAAGACTGGAATCAGGTGTAAACAACAACAGAAAACCACTTTGTTTGATTTCAAAATATGTGACCTACAATTATTAATATATCAAAATGTCCCATCTGTTTAACAATAACTCATCTTGAAATAATGAATGTGACCTGAATAAGAAGCAGAAACAGATGGATGGATTAACTCATTCAAAATAATAAGAAATCCTGTATGCAGCATTCAAACCAGTGTTAGTGCACTGCAGTGTGTTTCTATACTGGAGGTTTGTGTGCATGTCAATGGTCTGCAAAGGCCAACATCTTAAAGTTGGCACTGCAGCACAGGCACTATGAGAGACAAACAATCCCAGAGGGGGGTGTGTGTGTGTGTGTGTGTGTGTGTGTGTGTGTGTGTGTGTGTGTGTGTGTGTGTGTGTGTGTGTGTGTGCGCCTCAGGCCATGTCGAATCATAACGCCTCTTTAATTGAAAACACACACACACACTGGTTTAATATCTCAATCCTGGAATCACTGAAATTCCCAGCATCCTCTCTGAGAGACAAGGGGGGGGGGGGGGTTAGAGGAGCTGACCGGAGGAGTGAATTCTGGTAAATCATTAAAACCTCCCCCACCAACACACACTCATCACACATCACCCCATGACATCATCCCATGTATAGACACCAGGATGTTCATTATCTCACTTTAAAGACTGAGCTCCATCTACAGTAATGACCTCCAGCAAGGAAGACGTGTGAGTCTGTCAGCTGGAGGACGGAGGAAACTCCACGGGACTGTTCTCATGAAACCAGGTGGAAGGATGTAGGAAACTCCACGGGACTGTTCTCATGAAACCAGCTGGAAGGATGGAGGAAACTCCACGGGACTGTTCTCATGAAACCAGGTGGAAGGATGGAGGAACTCCACGGGACTGTTCTCATGAAACCAGGTGGAAGGATGGAGGAAACTCCACGGGACTGTTCTCATGAAACCAGGTGGAAGGATGGAGGAAACTCCACGGGACTGTTCTCATGAAACCAGGTGGAAGGATGGAGGAAACTCCACGGGACTGTTCTCATGAAACCAGGTGGAAGGATGGAGGAAACTCCACGGGACTGTTCTCATGAACCAGGTGGAAGGATGGAGGAAACTCCACGGGACTGTTCTCATGAAACCAGGTGGAAGGATGGAGGAAACTCCACGGGACTGTTCTCATGAAACCAGGTGGGAAGGATGGAGGAAACTCCACGGGACTGTTCTCATGAAACCAGGTGGAAGGATGGAGGAAACTCCACGGGACTGTTCTCATGAAACCAGGTGAAGGATGGAGGAAACTCCACGGGACTGTTCTCATGAAACCAGGTGGAAGGATGGAGGAAACTCCACGGGACTGTTCTCATGAAACCAGGTGGAAGGATGGAGGAAACTCCACGGGACTGTTCTCATGAAACCAGGTGGAAGGATGGGAGGAAACTCCACGGGACTGTTCTCATGAAACCAGGTGGAAGGATGGAGGAAACTCCACGGGACTGTTCTCATGAAACCAGGTGGAAGGATGGAGGAAACTCCACGGGACTGTTCTCATGAAACCAGCTGGAAGGATGGAGGAAACTCCACGGGACTGTTCTCATGAAACCAGGTGGAAGGATGGAACAAGGCCAAGAAAAACAACCAGCACATTAAAATTAAACGGCAAATAAACTGAGTTTTAAAGAGGTTTCCCCTTTCCTGTAGTGTGTTCTATGTTCAAGTGCATTTCAATGGTCTGCAAAGGCCCTGTGTTCAGGACATCTCTAAGCGGTTGACCAATCACAACAGAGCCGGCCAGCTAACCAATCATGAGCAGACTGGGCTCTGGTTTCAGACAGAGGGTGAAACGAGGTGCTGCAGCACAGAGAAAAATAAAGAGCTTTTTGAACATTAAAGCATGGAGACACTACATACTGATATACACCTGAACATCAGCAGGAGAGGACTCTTTAAAGTAGAGACACTACATACTGATATACACCTGAACATCAGCAGGAGAGGACTCTTTAAAGTAGAGACACTACATACTGATATACACCTGAACATCAGCAGGAGAGGACTCTTTAAAGTAGAGACACTACATACTGATATACACCTGATCATCAGCAGGAGAGGACTCTTTAAAGTAGAGACACTACATACTGATATACACCTGATCATCAGCAGGAGAGGACTCTTTAAAGTAGAGACACTACATACTGATATATACCTGAACATCAGCAGGAGAGGACTCTTTAAAGTAGAGACACTACATACTGATATACACCTGAACATCAGCAGGAGAGGACTCTTTAAAGTAGAGACACTACATACTGATATACACCTGAACATCAGCAGGAGAGGACTCTTTAAAGTAGAGACACTACATACTGATATACACCTGAACATCAGCAGGAGAGGACTCTTTAAAGTAGAGACACTACATACTGATATACACCTGAACATCAGCAGGAGAGGACTCTTTAAAGTAGAGACACTACATACTGATATACACCTGATCATCAGCAGGAGAGGACTCTTTAAAGTAGAGACACTACATACTGATATACACCTGAACATCAGCAGGAGAGGACTCTTTAAAGTAGAGACACTACATACTGATATACACCTGAACATCAGCAGGAGAGGACTCTTTAAAGTAGAGACACTACATACTGATATACACCTGAACATCAGCAGGAGAGGACTCTTTAAAGTAGAGACACTACATACTGATATACACCTGAACATCAGCAGGAGAGGACTCTTTAAAGTAGAGACTCTACATACTGATATACACCTGAACATCAGCAGGAGAGGACTCTTTAAAGTAGAGACACTACATACTGATATACACCTGAACATCAGCAGGAGAGGACTCTTTAAAGTAGAGACACTACATACCGATATACACCTGAACATCAGCAGGAGAGGACTCTTTAAAGTAGAGACACTACATACTGATATACACCTGAACATCAGTAGGAGAGGACTCTTTAAAGTAGAGACACTACATACTGATATACACCTGAACATCAGCAGGAGAGGACTCTTTAAAGTAGAGACACTACATACTGATATACACCTGAACATCAGCAGGAGAGGACTCTTTAAAGTAGAGACACTACATACTGATATACACCTGAACATCAGCAGGAGAGGACTCTTTAAAGTAGAGACACTATATACTGATATACACCTGAACATCAGCAGGAGAGGACTCTTTAAAGTAGGGACACTACATACTGATATACACCTGAACATCAGCAGGAGAGGACTCTTTAAAGTAGAGACACTACATACTGATATACACCTGAACATCAGCAGGAGAGGACTCTTTAATGTAGAGACACTATATACTGATATACACCTGAACATCAGCAGGAGAGGACTCTTTAAAGTAGGGACACTACATACTGATATACACCTGAACATCAGCAGGAGAGGACTCTTTAAAGTAGAGACACTACATACTGATATACACCTGAACATCAGCAGGAGAGGACTCTTTAAAGTAGAGACACTACATACTGATATACACCTGAACATCAGCAGGAGAGGACTCTTTAAAGTAGAGACACTACATACTGATATACACCTGAACATCAGCAGGAGAGGACTCTTTAAAGTAGAGACACTACATACTGATATACAACTGAACATCAGCAGGAGAGGACTCTTTAAAGTAGAGACACTACATACTGATATACACCTGAACATCAGCAGGAGAGGACTCTTTCTAAAGTAGAGGACTCTACATACTGATATACACCTGAACATCAGCAGGAGAGGACTCTTTAAAGTAGAGACACTACATACTGATATACACCTGAACATCAGCAGGAGAGACTCTTTAAAGTAGAGGACACTACATACCGATATACACCTGAACATCAGCAGGAGAGGACTCTTTAAAGTAGAGGACACTACATACTGATATACACCTGAACATCAGTAGGAGAGGACTCTTTAAAGTAGAGACACTAATACTGATATACACCTGAACATCAGCAGGAGAGGACTCTTTAAAGTAGAGACACTACATACTGATATACACCTGAACATCAGCAGGAGAGGACTCTTTAAAGTAGAGACACTACATACTGATATACACCTGAACATCAGCAGGAGAGGACTCTTTAAAGTAGAGACACTACATACTGATATACACCTGAACATCAGCAGGAGAGGACTCTTTAAAGTAGGGACACTACATACTGATATACACCTGAACATCAGCAGGAGAGGACTCTTTAAAGTAGAGACACTACATACTGATATACACCTGAACATCAGCAGGAGAGGACTCTTTAAAGTAGAGACACTACATACTGATATACACCTGAACATCAGCAGGAGAGGACTCTTAAAGTAGAGACACTACATACTGATATACACCTGAACATCAGCAGGAGAGGACTCTTTAAAGTAGAGACACTACATACTGATATACACCTGAACATCAGCAGGAGAGGACTCTTTAAAGTAGAGACACTATATACTGATATACACCTGAACATCAGCAGGAGAGGGACTCTTTAAGTAGAGACACTACATACTGATATACACCTGAACATCAGCAGGAGAGGACTCTTTAATGTAGAGACACTATATACTGATATACACCTGAACATCAGCAGGATAGGACTCTTTAAAGTAGAGACACTACATACTGATATACACCTGAACATCAGCAGGAGAGGACTCTTTAAAGTAGAGACACTACATACTGATATACACCTGAACATCAGCAGGAGAGGACTCTTTAAAATAGTGAATCATCACATTTTTTTCTTTATATTAGATAAATGATTAATTGAGACAAAGACCGACTGATGATTGGTTGTTAATGAAATCACTGAATAATATAAGTTATAAATAATAAGTATTTTCAGGACGTATAGTATAATCTATTTCCATATCAGAAAGAGCTGTATTGACTTGAGTCATTCCGTCCCAGACTGGGGTCACAGAGGTCAAAGGTCAGCATGCAGACAGCTCAGGACCTACCAGCTGTTTCCTGAGCAGCAGGATGTTCTCCTCCAGGATCTTCTCCTCGGAGTTCAGCTGAGTCTCCTTCTCCTCCTCCTCCTCCTCCTCCACCTCTTCCTCTCGGAGCTCCAGCGCGCCGCGGACCAGCCGCTCCTGCCGCTGCCGCAGAAACTCCAGCTCCTGCAGCCCGGACGCGGCGGCCTCCTGCCGCTCCCGCACCGCGCGCTGCCGCTCCGCCGCGTCCACCATGTCCGCGTCAACAGCGGTTCTGTCCCGGCTGCAGCGGCCATCTGTGTCCCGCCTGGAGGGCACTGACAGCGGCATCTCCTCCGTCAGAATCCCCGGTGTGAGCTCAGGGTTTCTGGAGCTTCAGGGACCGGCGGAACAACATGGTACTGGAGGAGGCTGTGCCGCACAGGAGGCACCAGCGTTGGATCAACTGAGACGAATCAGCTGGGTCAGAAAACCTGGATTAAGTGACCTGGGTCAGAAAACCTGGATTAAGTGACCTGGTTCAGTTAAACAAGATGCATAAACCGGGTGAGAAAGTGAATCCAGAATCCGATGCTCTCTCAGTATCAACCGGTGGTCTCTCGGTCCTCCTGCAGACGCACCGGTGAGATTAATCCGATAAATGAGTCCCAGGTCCGGGTAAATCCCAGTATGCTCCGATAGATCCGTGAGAGAGAAGCGTGTCTCCGCTGCTGCCGCTCCTCCTGCAGATCAGACCGGACTGACCGACTGATCCTCTGCTGCAGGGAGTCCGGTAAACCCCGCCCACCTCCATGGAGCCGCAGGCATGAGCAGCATTGAAAACGAGCGCTTCCTGTAGTCGCCTTCAAAATAAAAATACCTGGGTGAGTCGTGAAGATAAAAAGTGATTTATTTCCTACAGTTAACAAGAAAACGTGATGTATCTTTAAGCTTTCGCTCTTTTGAAGACAATCACCAAATATGATTAATGAACAATCTATAATGTTCGCCTGGGTTTACCTTAACTGAAGCCCCTTTAAAAATAAACAACGTTTGTTTTAAATTAATTTTTTTCGTATCAAATTCAACTTTGACTCGTCGTATCATAATGTTCACGAGTGTTGTAGTTTATGTTCAACTTCTCACATGTGTAATATGTCTAGTGTGAAATGTCTGAAAATGTATAATAATCACATATCTAGTGAATTAAAGGTGGGGTAAGTTTGAGAAACTCGAGATACACTTGTTGTTATATTCCATGGAATGCTCTTAACATCCCGATAGCAATGAATATCTGAAGTGCTTTGACAAAATATCCATAAAAAAATGTAATCTGTGGAAGCCGTAGTATTGTAAAAAGCGTTCGTGTGTGTTGGAGGAGGGGCTCTGTTAGGAAGTGGCAGATTTGTTCCGGCTGTGTATTTTCAAATTCTAGCGCACTCGAGCTGGTTTCTCCAAAATTACCTACCCCACCTTTAAATACAGCAGGCTATTTTTTTAAATACTCATTAACGGAACAAGTAGTTAGGTATTTTACTTAGGTAAATGCAGTAGAAGTACTGAGATCTTGTATTTGAGTAACAGTAGAAGTACTCAGATCTTGTACTTGGTAAAAGTAGAAGTACTCAGATCTTGTACTTGAGTAAAAGTAGAAGTACTCAGATCTTGTACTTGAGTAAAAGTAGAAGTACTCAGATCTTGTACTTGAGTAAAAGTAGAAGTACTCAGATCTTGTACTTGAGTAAAAGTAGAAGTACCAGAGTGTAGGAATACTCTGTTTCAGTGAAAGTCCTGCATTCAAAATGTTCCTCAAGTGAAAGTAGAAAAGTATTCTCATCAAAATATAGTGAAAGTAGCGACAGTAAAAGTAGTCATTGTGCAGATTGGTCCATTTCAGAATAATATATATGATATGTTTTATAATGATTGATCATGAAAGTGTTCTCAAAGCTGGTAAAGGTGCAGCTAGTTTGAATGACTTTGTATACTGCAGGGTAGCTTGTGGATTTACTCCAGGTGGAACTAAAGTCTGATTTAACACTTGGTTAGATTTCACATCATTCATCCACATCTGTGAAGTAACTAAAGGTATTAAATACATGTAGTGGAGGAAAAGTACACCATTTACCTCTGAATTGTAGTAGAGGAGAAGTACCTCAAAATTGAACTTAAGTACAGTACCCGAGTAAATGTACTAAGTTACTTTACACCACTGAAAAAAGATACAGCCTAAAATGTCAGTAGAGTTTGGGTAAGAACAAAACACTTTTATTTTGAAGGGCACTTTGCCGTTACTTCCTGTCTCCGTGTGTTGACTTTATTTGACTTGATGCTGATCCTTAAAACCTCTAACACTGAACTTCTGTTCAACACAAATAATTTTTTAAACAGTCTGAACACGTCTTTATATAACATACACTGTGAAATGTGTGTACACATATTACTACATGAGATTAATACATATTTTTACACACATTCATCAAAAGTCCAGCTCAGTTAATCTTTCACAATATTAAAATAAAACAATTCTAAATATTATGAAACACGATGTTTGAATATATCTGAGAGAAATATATTTTAAATGTATGTTTAATGTATAATCTAAGTTTAAGTTACAGGTTTTCGTATTTTTTTATTTTAAAGTGGACCTATTATGCTATATTGGAAAAATATATTGTAGGGCCATACCTATACAAAACATGTCTGTGAAGTCTTTTGCTTCAAATACCAAACAGATCGCCCGTTGTAGCCGTGCCTCATACTGCTCATACCCCTCTATTGCAGCCCTGTTAGAGAAACAAGGATTTTGGGTAAAAGAAATCCGCGTTTTTGGGTAAAAAAGAGGAGGCGGAGCTAATGCCTGATCAGAATTCTACCGGAGATAAAGTTAAATTCTGCTGTGATAAAACATCATCCTGTTCTAAACCACATCAAGGATTATTTCTGAAACAGCATGGAGCTCAAATGCTTTTTCTCTTGCGGGTTTATCACAAGGTGAGTTCCTTTTTTTATTTCCTGCTTCTTCACACACATGCTCTCCAGTACAGGTTAGCTCTGAGTGTTAGCGATGCTAATGTAAACAAAGATGAGATTACGTCCAAAACACGTCAGGCATTGTTTCAAATAGCAACTTTCTGTGGGTCCACCGCCGAAATTACGTAATATCGTCAGCAAATCTGTATCAGCTCGTTGTACCCCCGTTTTTAAAGATTTAGGTACGGAGGAAAAGAGAGAGGGTTTTATTTTCTGACGCTGCGTGAGATCCCCGACACACCGGGGACACACCGGGGACACACCGGGGACACACCGGGGACACACCGGGACACACCGGGGGGACACACTGGGGACACACCGGGGACACACCGGGACACACCGGGGACACACCGGGGACACATCTTGATGTATAAAAGACATAAAAAAGTGCATTTTGCGTGATGTCCCCTGTCCCCTTTAATACATATTATGAACATAAGTATATAAAAACATATATTTATAATACATTGTCTTTAGAGTAAATGAAAAATAATATAAATATTGAGTTGAGTCACTTTCAGTTGTCACCTATCCTTTTTTTTTTACATTAGGCTATATCTAATATAGTAATACAAATTAAAATATAAAATGTAAAATAAAAACAAAAAAGTATACATATTAAAAAATAAAATAGTTTCAAACATATCCAATAATAATATTATATATAACAACAGGCTAATATAATGCAGTGTTAAAATGTTTCCAAAAAACACCAAATGGTAGCCACATACTGTATAATGACATTGTAGGCTAATATAATGCAATGTTTACAATTCATCCCATAATAAAGTGTTGTTTACGGTAAATCTACGTCACGTGACTTTGACTAATCTTTATTGTTCTCTGCATGGACAACAGCAGCTGAACAAACACGCATTAATGTCTCTGTGTGTGTTTTTTTTTGGGTCATTTGAGCCTCTTTAATGGGTCCGTCATGTATTAAGCGTTAATGAGGTCGAGGCCTCATTTGTATGCTAATGAGGGGGCGGGGCTTAGAGCAGGGGAAGAATAATCTGATTTGATTGTGAACGTCTTCATCTGTGACTTCCTGTCCTGTCTGCTCAATAAACATTATTTAAAATATGAGTGTGTGTGTGTGTGTGTGTGTGTGTGTGTGTGTGTGTGTGTGTGTGTGTGTGTGTGTCTGAGTGTGTGTGTGTGTGTGTGTGTGTGTGTGTGTGTGTGTTTGTCTGAGTGTGTCATACAATTTATAATATTCCCGCGGCTTTGAGTTGAGGGGAAATGTGTCCTTGACAAAAACACTATTTTAAAGATTTTCTGTGTCTCAATATGCATTCCTCTCAAATGTAAGACATGATAATGGACTTCATCACATCTCGCCCAAATCCTCTTGTAATCTCGAGACGTCATGTTGGACTCTGAACTGAACCGTTCATCAATCATTTAGATATTTCTCAACCCAAAATGTTCTTCTTGTGAAATACTGGAGAGTTTTTCATGTTGAAAAGTGATTCATCTGAAACCATCTGAGTCACATTGAGCTGTGTGTGAAGTCCAACATGGAGGAGAAACAAAGAGGAGACAAAGGAGATGAGAAAGTAAAGTCCATCATGGAGGAGAAACAAAGAGGAGACAAAGGAGATGAGAAAGTATTGATAACAAACAAAAAGCTGATATTGATGGATCTCTAATGCTCACAGGAACTCACAGGAACTCACAGGAACTCACAGGAACTCACAGGAACACACAGGAACTCACAGGAACTCACAGGAACTCACAGGAACACACAGGAACTCACAGGAACTCACAGGAACACACAGGAACTCACAGGAACTCACAGGAACTCACAGGAACTCACAGGAACACACAGGAACTCACAGGAACACTCACAGGAACACACAGGAACTCACAGGAACACACAGGAACTCACAGGAACTCACAGGAACACTCACAGGAACTCACAGGAACTCACAGGAACTCACAGGAACACTCACAGGAACACACAGGAACTCACAGGAACTCACAGGAACTCACAGGAACACACAGGAACTCACAGGAACACACAGGAACTCACAGGAACTCACAGGAACTCACAGGAACTCACAGGGGACACGAGCCAGCGCCTCTTCATCTTCAGAGGGCTGTTTATTTTGAGCACTGAATCCACAAGATATACCGTGAATGGAGCCTCACCTGAACCCCGTCTCACCTGAACCCCGTCTCACCTGAACCCCGTCTCACCTGAACCCCGTCTCAGGTGAACCCCGTCTCACCTGAACCCCGCCTCACCTGAACCCCGTCTCACCTGAACCCCGTCTCACCTGAACCCCGCCTCACCTGAACCCCGTCTCACCTGAACCCCGTCTCACCTGAACCCCGTCTCACCTGAACCCCATCTCAGGTAAGGAACAATACAGATGTTGCACTGATGATTTCAAGATGCAAATAGTTTTTAAAGATTTAAAACAAATCATGGAAAAAGTCTTATTATTATTTTAACACAGATTGTTTTGGTTTTGTATTAATAAGCTGATGATGAATAATACATAGGGGTGTGTGTGGGTCTGTGTGTGTGTGTGTGGGTCTGTGTGTGTGTGTGTGTGTGGGTCTGTGTGTGTGTGTGTGTGTGTGTGTGTGTGGGTCTATGTGTGTGTGTGTGAGTCTCTGTGTGTGTGCGTGTGTGCGTGTGTGTGTGTGTGTGTGTGTGGGTCTGTGTGTGTGTGCGTGTGTGTGTGTGTGTGTGTAGGTCTGTGTGTGTGTG